TTCTAATTATCAAGGTCCCTACAAAGACAACTTACTGTATGCTGCAGTCCATAAGTGCAGCTGTGACCATTGCTGCTTTGCAGCAGTGCACCGCTCGAAATGCATGATCCTACACGATACCAGTATTGTGCCAGTAGCCTATCTGTGCGACTCATCGGAGCCGGAGCATACGTGGGCTGCGCACAGTTGCTTCAGATTTGTTGTCCGAAAGCTCGGAAGGGACAGATGTCAGAAACTCTTTGGCATTGCCCGAAACTGGTATTTGTTGCTTGGGTTTGGCACCAGCTCTTGACAACATCCAAGTCCATACTGGAGGCCGCAAAGACACAGAAAACATCTTTGGCCCCACCGCAGCAGCTCGTTTGGTTAGATGCTGAAACTTGGAGCCTGAAATTTCTAGACCTTGAACCAAACCCTGGTGGCCTTCATGCCTGAACACCCTGAACTCTGAACCCCAATCCCGACGACCCATAAACGCAACCCTTGGAGCAATCCAAGGTCCTGCACGGCTGGAAAGGAGGATGAAGCAGGCGTCTCGAATTGGGGACTACTTGGGGAGTTTTAGGGTTGGGTGAGGACTAAATTTGGGGTGTCAGGTTCTGGGTTTTGGGTGGTTTAGGGTTTGGGGTGGGGATTCTCTGGGAATTTTGGCTCAGGGTTCAGGGCGAGAGTGAGGATTGTACCATCGCATCTTGCACCCTGAAGGATACGAACTCTTGCTCAAGGCTTAGCAGAAGCTCCAATGTTAGTATGGGTCCATGTAAGGGCCGGAACCCCTGTGGAATATACACACAACTGTCATGGTGATTCGATGTCTGAAGCACATGACCGATGATGAGTGGTTGATGGGGAGCTGCAAATACCACAGCTGTACCAGAAATGTGTTGCTGAGAAATAGGAGGGGTAAATGTCTTACATGTGTATGCGTACATAAACAAAGATGTACACATACACTTGCACATATACATATACATATACCTCTGCTTGGCACAGACATATACATGTACATACTTCCATGCATGCATAAATATTTAACCATATTTGCACATGTGTGCTGTTGTGAACCCTTCTGCACAAGCTTTCCATTCCACCCGGCATACAGAACATTGCTTCCAGCCATCCCACTGAAGCTCCAAGCCATCCAGGAGCCGGGACCAGTGGAGTCCACTGAAGCCTCTGTCAGAGGTGCTTCTTGCTCGCTTGCACATGTGTGTATGTGTGTGCACGCATGTGCGTGCGCGTATGCGTGTCGGTGTGTGTGTGTGTGTGTGTGTGTGTGTG